ATGGATGGATGGATGGATGGATGGATGGATGGATGGATGGATGGATGAATTGATGGATGGATAGATGCATGGAAGGATGGATGGATGGATGGATGGATGGATGGATGGGTGGATGGATGGATGAATGGATGATGGATGCATGCATGGATGGATGGATGGATGGATAGATGGATGGATGGATGGATGGATGGATGGATGGATGGATGGATGGATGGATGGATGGATTGATCAGAATCAGAATCAGTTTATTATTGCCATGTCAATGAACGAGGTTCACAAACCAGGAATTTGCTTCGACATAAGGTGCGAATAGTAATAAAGTAAAATAAAGTAAAATAAAGTAAAAATAAAGTAAAAATGAAGTAAAAATGAAGTAAAAATGAGAACATTACATATGACATAAGACCTGTGTACACCCACAAATAAAGTAACATTGAAACATAACATAAACATATGTACACCCATATAGAAAACAATAAAAAAGCTTAGAAAACAATACAGATGGAGTATTCAATTATAATACAGATGGGTGGACAGATGGATGGATGATTCTTTTCTTTCTCTTTATGCTGGTGAGCATATTTTAAAGATCATTAAAAACCATACACTTGTACCATCTTGCTCTTGAAGGCCTTCATGTTTTATCTTCACACGCTTGATTTTAGGTTTTCTGTACGAGCAAACATGAAATTAATGTCCCACCAAAATGAAACAGTGAGTCAAGGACTTTAACGATCCAGCACACTCAGCCACATGCTTCATGTCTAGTTACCTCTGCTTTGATTCTAGTTACTGTTCTTTATTCTCAAGGCAGACTAAAAGTGCTTCTGGAATCACCAGAGTCTGATTTCACGAATTTAGTGACGACGGGTGGAAAAATGCAAAAGAAGATCAACGACGCCATCTAGTGTTGGAAAACAAAACATGAAAAACCAAACGCAGCCAGTGTGAAAACGTGCACAATTCAATTTAAAGTGAGAAAGCTCCTTGAATGAGATTTTCAATAAATAAATAAATCCATATAGCCATCCTTTCATCGATCCATCTTATCGTTTATTTGTTATGGGCAACCATGGCAACAGATCCAGGAGTGACATCATTCTAGGTCTGCCCAGGGGACTTTTCCAAGCAGAACAAGCTGGAAAACATCCAGCGGGAGGCATCCAGGGGGCTGCTCGAACCACCTCAGCTAAATCCTTTCCATGTGGAGGAGCAGCAGCTTCTACTGTTCCCCTGGATGACGGAGCTTCTCGTCCTTTCCAAGGCTTTAGAACCAAATATTTAGAATCTCTTATGTTCTATCATGATCTGTACCTCATGTGGGGGTTACAGCATAAACAGGCCAGTAAACTGAGAGCTTTATTTTGACTCAACTCTTTTTTTTTTTTTTTTAACCATGACCGCCCAAAGCATTGTCCACTTGTGAACAAGACTCCCAGATACTTGAACTCATTGAGGCCAAAACTCACTGCCACTCCACTGGTGTGTGTTAATTTTACAAATCCACAAGCAACTCACAAATGATGGGACAAAACAAATAATACAAAAATGTCATATGTGCAAATCAAATATGTTAATCAAAATGTTCACTTGAATAAAACATGTAAACTATTGAATATGGGTTATTTATAAGATTGAGTTTATTGCAGCTCCTCAAACTGAGAAGTCTTTTGGATAAAAGACAAAATGTTTCACAAAAAGAGACCGTCCATGGACCTGACTTAACTTTGTTAGATTTTTCTATTGAGCATGCATCATAAATATGGGTGTTTATACCAGAAAGCCATTGATGTAATGTGTATATATCAGTCACCAGTGTGTTTACTTGTTTATTACAGTATTTAATTCATTTCTTAGATTCACTGACAAGAATGAAGTCAGAAAACTGACTTACTGGAGTTAGTTGTTTTCTGGAGAGTTTTTTGACACAATGACCTGCTGACCCATAAAAGTCTACAGCTTTTTGGGGAATTTTCCTGCTTATTTATTTATTTATATTTTAAGTATGCTAACTCATGGACTAAGCTGCATTCTACCAGAGGACACGGATGGATCCGAGTTAATTTAGACCTGGGACTCGTGAACCCTGATTCAGTGAGAGGATTCAAATGATCAATCCGGGTGATTCATTAACCGAGCCAGCTCTTGGTGTGCGATAACGCAAGATTTAGTAAATCCAAAATCAAGTAGGGACCCACATCTCAGATAGTCTACTACCTTTTAATCATAAAAGTGGACAGCATCAAATCATGAAACAATTTTTCGGACTTTAGTTTTTTTTTAAATAATTGTTTGTTTTGTATTTTTTATATTGAATTAATAATTGATTAAACACTAGAACAGAATCTTGTTCAGAAACAGCAGAGCAGTTTATACCTTCCTTTATTCCACCTAAATAAAGCATACAAAGCTATCACACCACAACAACTGTTAAAAACAGTTACATAAAAAAATCAGTTTCAACAAAGCTTGCTTGTTTTACGTCGATCAGTCACGTGACGGGCCCGTACCACCACAGGCATAATGCGTGCAACGTCAAAGCACGGGGGAGGTAGTGTAAGCGGAGTACAATTTTTGGTCCGGTCGGCTTGCCATACTTCTGAAAAAGACATCGATCCCAGCGCGCTGGGATCGATCCCTGTCCGCCCAGGTTCTTTACGCTCTTGTTTTGCTAGCAAGATGGATGAGTTCGAGGAGCAGTTGGCCGAGACTGTGAAGAATTACAGCCATCTTTACAACTGTGCCAACAAACCATATAAAGACAGTGAAATGGCGAAGAACTCGTGGAAGGAGATAGCGCAGTTAATGTGCACGGACGAGATCGTCTGTAGGAAACGGTGGCGGTCTCTTCGGGACAAATTTGCAAAGGCCAAACGGCGAGTTCAGAGTCGGAAGAAAAGCCCCGGCGGCAAGAAGATCGCCATTCCGGCGCTGTACACCGCTTTACAGTGGCTGGACGTCCATGTAAAGAACCGGGAGACGACCACCAATATGATGAGCGTGTCACACGTTGAGGTAAACAGCCATGTCCACCAGACAACCCGTCAGTTCCCTGAGCTGATAGCTGCCCACTGCTCCACCTGAGTATCTCACGTGTGGTTGGTTAAATGCAGGGAACTAATTTCGCCATTGTATGGAAACAATGATGACAATCTCAAACTTCCCTTCTGCGCTGCCGTAGTTCCTCTTTTGTGTCTGTCCATGGTCAATAAGAACGTCTCGCAGACACGTCAGCGAGAACAGATGTCTTCACTCTCTCCCGGAGTTGATGTTGAACCAGAGAGAAGGCCTGATAAACAAAAAGGTGCTAGCGATACCGCAGACAGGCGATTTGTGACGTCAAAACGGCCGCTGTTATTTTAATTAACAAGTCAACCCACCGTGTTATTTATTGTATACTAGTTATTTTTTACTTTGTTTAGTCAAAACTAAAAAAAACAAAACAAACCTGTTTTACAAGTCATATCGATATTGCTCTAACGACATCCGCTTTTAGTTTTTCAAAATAAAAGCAGTTGGCGAAAGATAGCTGAAAACGGACTAAGATGGTTTATAATAAAAATAAACTTTAATATAAGAAAATACTACGTTAGGTTTTATAGGATGAATGCTTTTTTTTTCTACATTGTAATTACCGTTATAATCTATCGCCTTTTAAAATAAAGGCAGTTGTTACTGATGATGATAATAACTTCATACTTTTCAACCTCCCTGGGAAAGTTTTCTCCAGGGTGTTGGATGGAAGGCTCCGACCAATCGTTAAACCTCAAATTTAGGCGGAGCAGTGCGTCTTTTGTCCATGTTGTGGAACGGGTTCCTTATGTATCAAAGAGGGTGCAACTTCCCTACTGAAAGTTGGCGTGAGAGGACGAAATGTGAAAATTGAGTGTGCACAAAACTATTTAATGTAGTCAAACTGTGCACACGCATGTTTCTGTGCACCTTTCTTTCATGCATATGAAACTGAACGTACATGAGGCACCTCCCCTGACATGTCTGTCTCCATTTAGTTATAGATGCAAATATGTCTTGCATGTGAGATTCTCCTTTCTGCAAGATCGTAAATGATGTCAGGAGAGAGAGTGTGTGTGTGTGTGGGGGGGGGGGGGGGGGGGGGCTGTTGGACAAAGAATATGCTTACTACCAACTCTCATCTATGGTCATTTAGCATGGATGATGATTAAAAGAATAAGATCCCGGCCACAAGAGGCTGAAAAGAGCTTTCACCAAAGGGTTGCCAGGCTCTGCCATAGAGGAGGATGAGGAGCTCCACCATCCAGAAGGAGCTAGAAGTAGAGCCGCTGCTCCCTCACAACAAAAGGAGTCGGTTGAGGTGGTTTGGGCATCTGATTAGGATGCCTCCTGGATGCTTCCCATTGGAGGTTTTCCAGGCACGTCCCACAGGGAAGAGACCCAGAGAGGGTCGGGGAAGATGTAGACCTTTCTGGAGGGATTGTATATCCTCTCTGGCCTGGGGACACCTTAGGATCCCCCAAGAAGAGCTAGGAAGAGGAACGTCTGAGTTTCTCTACTGGACCTGTTGCCGCAGCAACCATATGCAGCACTCCCATAGTAGATGGATATAGAAATAATGATATTAATAATAATACTCTTAACAACAATATCCAAGCCTCTCAGCAGGGGAAATGGGAAGTTAATCTTCAGAAAAACATAAAAATAAATAAATAAATGAAATGGAAACATTATACAAGCTGAGATATTGTGAAAAAGTAACATTTACATACAGAAATGTAAAGATGAATAATTAAGAGATAAATATTGATTTAAATATTGAACAAAATTTATAACCAGTCCAACCATTATAGCTCCAAATAATTATTTGATGTGCTTTAGAATTAAAAATATCTCAAACACAGTTTTGTTATTTCTGTTCCACTCTGTCCACACTAACCTGAAAAGGCTGATAAAACAGTTCCACAATGATGCATAAAACAGTATTCAAAAGCTAAAACGCATTCTGTAAAGTAATGCAAACCTGCCTCCATGTAAAGTGAATTGGGAAAAAAAGTACAAATCTCTTTTGTTCCTAGTGTTTGTAAAAATCTGAGCTTTGGGGAACTTGACTGCCCAGGAAACTGAAGCTTACAGGTGTGTTGTCTGTGTTAATTAGTAACCATGCTGTTTTATGCCACATAGTTTGCTGGAGGAGCACATGACCTGGAGAAAGAGCAAGACCGAGTCAAGCAGGAGCAGCTTGACCTCCTGCCAGTTATCAGTACTGTTTATTCTCCGGCTGACTCCAGTCCAAGCAGCCATCAGATTGTTGAAACCTCTTTTAAACCTAAAAGACAGTCGAGCTCACAAACTGAGAAGAGTTCTGCAGACGCCCGCAGCAGCCTCAGAGATGAAGACGAACTGTTTCTGCTCAGCCTTCTGCCCTCCATAAAGAGGCTTACTAACAAGAAAAAGATGGAGGTCCGGATGAGGTTTCAGCAGGTGCTTTATGCTGCAGAATTTGACAACTAAAAAGACATTGTTGGTGGAAGGACGTTGCAGTTGGTCACATGCACAGACTTTACCGCTTGTAAATCATTATTTTATTGTCATAAATAAATTATAAATATTTTGTATCTACTGTATATCTGTTCTGATGTCTCGGTGTCACAAGCTCAACGGTGTTCTTGATGCAGATCAATAACTTCCATCAAGGTCTTGGATCTTTCCAAGACCGATTTTAATTTTAATTTATTTATTTTTTTGTTTAACGAACAACAAGCATCTGTTTATTCACTGCAGTATTTTCCTCCAT